AACGTTACCTTCTTCCTTAAGCCACGTTGACAAGGATTCATTTGCATTGCTACTTTCTAATTAGAAAATTATTATTTATTTTTATATATAAGCATAAATAAATAAAACAAAAAAAAAATCTTTTTAACAAAATATGTTTGCATACTTCTCGATGGAAGAGGTACAGTATTTTTAGGAACAGTGACCCTCGACGTCAGCGATGTTACTGGGCTTAAATGCTGTTCAATGCAATTTACTTGATTACCCAAGAGTCCCAAAAAATTTTAAATAAAAACTTTAAACAGCATTAAGATCACACATTGGTCCATCCAAATAGGCTGGCACAATTAATGCAAATGCCATTGCCATTTGGATATATAAAAGATTGATTCTTGCCTCCTTTTGTGGTGTCCATGGTTCTGTAAGAAAAATATTAATAAAATATATTAATAAGTGATCAATCATTATTAAATATATGACAAATCCAAGTAAATCAAATGGAATTTAAAGCGCTAACCATCAGTAACAGAGTCGTGACTGCTGTGATGTTCCTCATTTGCAATTGCAATCGCGTATAATTCTTCTTCTTCTTCGAGATTTAAATCTTCGTATATATTTTCATCTTCTGCAAATTCAGGTTCTTGATTACTTTCAACGTAATATTTGATATCTTCTTGGATTTGGATAACCTAAAAAAATTTTAAAGCAATAAACGATCTCAAAAGATATTTATCATAATGTGATAACAATGAAATTTTTTTTTGTTATATCGCATCCAATTTTGATCTAAATGTTGATATGGATGTTGATAATTAATCAATCAGCTTATAGTCCAAGTGACAAACCTTTTCAGGACAAATATTTCCATTTTCTAATAATCTTAATATTAATTCTAAACGATTAACATGCCACTTATTCCTCTCTATTAGATGATCAACTTCAGTCAGACGTTCAACCTTTTGAATATCCTTTCTTCCTTTCTTAACAGCACTTTGCAAACTTTCAGCTTCAGCTTCGGCTGTTTCAATCTGTGCGCTGAGAATATCAATCTGACTTGCTACAAATTCACAAGTCTCCATTTTCTCCTTCTCTTTTGGGTCCATTTTAACAGATTGTTGCAAACCTTCTTTTGAATAGGCTTTAGTTTTCATTTCTTTTTCACATGCTTTAAATTTTTCCATTTGCTAATTCATTTAAAATCATAATAATAAGTAAATTTCGAAATCACAATACTTTTTTTTCCTTCTAATAAAAAATTTCGATTGATAAATCTAATAACTGCATCAAAAATTTATAGTGATTATTATTATTGTTTCTTAGGATGGAAAGATCAAACCTGCTCTATTAAACGTCTATTATCAATTAATGCACGTTTGTCTTTAATGTCATTTGAAGATATCCATGCTTTTATTTGATCACGTTGCCTCTGAAGTTTTTTAATTTCTTTCTTGAGATCTTGTTCCAATTTTTCCTTTTGATTCGAGTTGATTGCTGCTTGTATTTTATCAAATCTTGCCTCAAATGCTTCC